GATGATTTTTCTTTACTGAATAATAGATGATTGTTCTTTACCAGATATCTTGAACTTAGTATGAGAGACTTAAATAATGTCATTAAATATTCTTTTTTTGTGCAAAATACTTGCCGCTGCCCGGGCTTGAACCCGAGCCCCTTCCTCTGTCCTTTGACGCCGTCGCTCTACCCAATGAGCTACCGCGACAAGCCGCTGCTTGTACTATAAAACCATAGTATCGGTCAAAAATATTTTCCTTTTTGATTGACGGTCATTGGTCGAAATCATCATTGCATCCACATCTATTGGTCAAAACTCAAATGTAGCAAACTTTTTTCCGCTTCAACAAAACGTGAAATGTAGCAATCATTTGCGAACAGAGTAAGTAGTACATTTTTGTGGAACGGAGGGAGTATGAAAACATTGAAGTAACGAGTACAGTATTACTGTAGAAGTTGGATTTGAAATTGAGCAAAGAGTTCAATTTGCAAAGGCACAGGAAGAAGCGGGTGGACGACAGCGTCTGGATAGAAGGCGATATGTATCACGACATATTCGCCTTCTATCCTGGCATGAATTCTCGACACCTGTAGCGAATATTGGTCGTAGCCCGCACGCTGCAAAACGACATGGGCCAACGCTAAGATGATTGCAAATCTCTCACAACGCTGACCACCCCATCCGAATAATCTTACAAAGCTCGCTTGGCTAACGAGCGTAAGTGCTAATCGTCGAGGATGCAGTTGTCTGGGGGGGCAACTTTGTCGCACGTCGAGTACGTGTACGCGGCAATCACCCCCGCCATGCCAGTGGGATCTAAAATAGATGCGATCGTCGCAGCAAAGCGGACGTAGTCTTCCGCCGTGCGGGCCTCTTCAAGGTCCTCGATGGCCTCATAGCCTGTCTTGACACGGTCCGCGTTTTCGTACGCTTTGATGGCGTTTTTAACTTCAGGCTTGGACTTGATGGATTTCCAGCCGTTCTTGAGCTTGGCCAAGATCTCCGAGTCGACCGGGGCCTGGAGCGCCTTAGCTGAGCTTGACGAGAACGCCGTGCAAACATTGAGCACCATCTCGCCGACCGACATGATCTGGTCTACCATGATTTCGGCACATTGAGTCGAGGTCGTGGCGGCTCCCATGCCACATCGGACCCAACCAGACGGGGGAGGGCCCCAGCAGACCGGTCCGACGCCAGAGAAGCCTGTCTTGCACTGCTTGTAGCACAGTCCAGCGTCTCGCTCTTCGCCCGACGCACACGTTCCCAACTCGGGATCCCCGATGACAACTTTCTTTGCACAAGACAGGTCGAAACGGCCGGCCAGTCCATACTCCTGGCAGTTTGGTGGCTTGGGGCGGCAAGTGCTGCAGCCAAAGGCGGTGTACCCCTCTTCGCATTTCGGGTACACAATAAGGCCGTATTTCTCGCAGTTGCCGGTGCCGTGGGCTGCTTCACAACGTTCGAACATGCCGTGGTCACTGAGACCGTCGCCATACTTCCAAGGGAAGCCAACGCCTCGGCCGTATTCCTTCTTGCGGCAAAAGAGGCCTTGGTCCTCTAAGCCTTCGGGGCAGTTCGAGTGGCAGTCCAGGCCCTTACGAGACATGCCAGGAGGACAATTCGGGTAGCACAACAGTCCAATTCGCTCTTGGCCTGCCGCGCACGAGCTGGGTACTTTGCCAACGCCACGGGGATACGAGTTGAGCCAGCAGAACGGCGCGGTCGTCGTTTGGAGTCCGCGAGACGCGGACGATTCGTTGCGCGAGGCCATGGCGGCCCCGGCGACGGCAATCAGCGCAGTAATACGCTTCATGGCAGGAGCAAGTGAGCAATGCAAGTACGCAGTGAACTACTCGAACACCTTTCGAGATTGCGCAGAGGGACACAGCTGTGAAATGTCAGCTGCTCGAAGGGCTTGTCTCCACTGCGGATGTAGGAGGTCATGGCACCAGAACAACTGCCATCTGGCACCTGGCGCGCATTTCGTTCCACTAGACTCATTATTATCATGGCAACCCAGTTTCTTGTCGTTGCTCAGCACTGTCCACCTGAGGCGGCGGGCAGTTGATTGATACGCGAGGAATCGAGTGCTAGTGTATCGACGCGTCTCGAAGCTCGGTGGCTTGCACGAGGGCCGATTACAACAGACAGCTGCGTGCCTTGCCTTTAGAAACGGCAACCTAACGACACGCCTTTTTCTTGTTTTTTGTATGTGCGGTCATACTATCGGTGCGACATTCCTGGCTTCATCCAAGCTGACTAGTGATTGCTGGTGTCATCCAAGCGGACAAGTGCAGGGACAATCCGAACACCCGGCTCTATCGAGATCATCCCAACTGCCCTGCCCCTCAGGTTGTAGGATGATCCCTCAACGGTACGAAGTGTTTTGTGCCTTCTAGAGATTTTTTCGTCATGTTGTCGTGAGTTGTAGCGAAGGCCACGCCACATCGTTAGGATGTCGTGCTCTTCTTGGCCCTTTGGCCTTTGCTGGCGGATGGGTTTCTCTCACAGACCACTTCTCTTTTTTCGACATTCCGGTCTCCTCGCATCCGTGTCTCTTCTACCTGTTACATGATGCTGCCTACAACGCTTGCGAGTTTTCTCGCGTTAAATGGTGCTTGTTCGTCCTTCACGGCTTCCGACCGCAAAGTTGCCTCCTTCGTAAGGCAAATCCAAGACTGTATTACTTCAGAGGGCTGAGGGGCCACGAGCCACGTGGCCACA